ACAAATCATTGTACTTCTATTGTGCTTCTATTCTATACAGCATAAACAGCTCTATACACAACTACTTACAGGAACCTGCATTTATACTCGCTGACTTCATTGCACGTTGAACACCTTCTCTCCCTTCTTCCTACTCCTCGCTATTAGTCTGCTTGGTTAACCCCTGGAGCGTAAGCTCTTCAAAGACCGTATGTCCTTGTATGTTTGTATAGCTCCTACTGCTATGACAATAAATGCTTTAAAAGATCACTAGTTATATTTAAGGCTATACTATGAGCAATACTAAATGATACTGCCAGAAGATTTTCTTTCAAGTAAAATACATCACAGCACAAGTATCTTATGCTTTCTGACTTTACACCAACAGTATATTTTAAAAGCACAGTTTCCACTTATGAGTAGAGACGCCTTCCAAGTCTTCTACTAAGCGGCCAGCTCTGTGAAATGAATCACCCTATTTCTATCCTCATATGGCACAGAAGCTCCAAAATTATATCCAGGACAATGACCTGAATAATACTTGACACAGGTTTGTGATCTCACGTCACGACTTACTTTCAGTTATCAGTACGTTACCTGGGAAATTTAACATTTAGCACTGAATTCCCTATACATCTATATCTCTTTTTAAAAACTACTGAAAAGCAGTGTGAAATCAAACAACTAATGTGTGTTCGGAATCTTAATATGACCTTAAAGATACTGGATTTGCTTGTTTATTTTTGGTGTTCCTGTGTTTTCTGCCTCAACATCCTGTTTCACAGGCAGATAAATATTTTATATTACAAAAAGACTTGGAAGAATTAATTTTTATCTCTATTAGAAAGCAACTGTACATAGACATTATTTGAAAACTACTGAAAGACTTCAAAACGATTGTTTCACTTCTGTGTCACTGTTTACAGGAAAAACTAGACTCAAATGTTTAAATGTCTCCAGCTTACCCTGCACAACGTATGTCAGCAGGACACAGCTGGTATTAAAGCCAATACTTCTTAGTAATATCCTTGGAATACTGACATTCTAAAATAGTTTTCAAATAACAACAACAACAACAATCTAGCTACTTCACAAATTGATCTTGAACCTTGGCACAAGTGCTTATATCAGGGCTGGACTGATAACACACTTCTGCTACATCATTGGTTTTAAACAGTGTTTTGACTGAAGAACAGTATATCAGTTTTGGAAACAACTGTTCCCCCACTCCCCACGACCGCACTTACCAGAACCAACAGATTTCTGCAGAATTATCGCTTGCTTTAAACCATTTTTGGTTAGGTGGGTCTCTATCCTCAACAGCTTTACACAACACTAGTGTCAAAATCACACAATTTCCAGTTCAAAATCATGTATTATTCAGCACTAAAACGGTGATCTAATTACTATAAGCAATAACACAATGGTATGCAGAATGCAAGAACAGGTAATAAATATCTCTTAAAACTCAAAAAAAAGTGTTTTGGGGATGTCCTGAGTTAATTCTGTGCTGTAAAGATTTTCAGACATTAAGAGATTCTCTTCAATTTAAACATAGATATTTTGTTACTAAAGAGGAAACAAGAATGCTGGGCATGAAATTATATTTACTGTGATGGCACGTATCTTGTGACTGTGATGCTTTGAGAAAGGCTGGAAAGGCTAGAAAAATCATTTAAGAAAGGAATATATCCTTTATTTTTAACAAAGGATATAAGATTACACAGTGGAACCAGGTGATACAAAAATCTAACAAAGTTTTTTCATAGATATTAATGGGCCTTGGATTAGATCTGTGGTTAATTTTTAGACTAGCTGCACAGACAAAAATTATACCTAAAACAAAATACACAGTAAAAATATTAAAAGCGATATCTTTACAGCATAAGTAGTATATCACACCATCACATAAAATTTGGTCATTTGGCTTATTATATAATTCATCAATTTATTTTCTTCAGGATCTATAAAGTAAGGATTCATAGTTTCTTTCCACACTAGGGTAAAAATCAAAAAGAAATCCCCCCAAAATTATACATGTACATACTGCTTTATCTAAAACATGTGCCAGCATGGACAATTCAAGTTTAAATGATAGATTTTTATCTAAGGAAAATATCTTATTTCATTTTTCCCTTCCCTAGTTTCAAATATGTAGCTGAAAAAGCTAAACTCCTTTTTCAACAATGATACTGGAGTTACTGAAAATATATACATTAAGGGCACGTAAAAGAAAGCTCACCTTAGGTCTATATACTGTACACCAATGCAAGGTCATGAATCACTCTCAAACTATTCACATTGTCTAAATAAATTTCCAAGAAAAAAGAAATAACAGTCCCTAGAAACATAGGTTACACTAAATTGTCATAAACTTATAAAACACCGTTCTAGCTATTATTGTCTTTAGCAATTATGAGCTGTGAGTAATAATCAAGAGATATAGCAGTGACAGGATAAAGGGATAACTCAAAGAAAAATATTTAGACCCTGTGCAAACATCAAGTAGTGATACTTAGCATGGACCATGCCAGTTCGTATTTTTTCCCCTCACATTAATGGCTTTTAAAGTTCTAATGTCTTATTATTTTCTAAAAGATATTCCCATTTAACTGGTCATTATTGTTTTACAAGGTTTAAACTCTGAGACCTGCCATACAAACTGCTGATTCAGCATGTAGAAGATCTAAGAGGGCAGACACCTCTTGCAGGAATAAAGCAGCACAGGGGAAGAGCAATTTTCTTAAATCAATTGCAGATTCCTTTAAAGTGGTTCCTGTACCTTCTCTTCTCACCACAAATACTTGATCCCATCCTCATTTCACCAGACCTATCTGCTACTGCAGTTGTTCTAAATGTCAAGTGATCTGTTTTGAATGCTGATACTCTCACAGAGAGGAAGAAACTTCTAGTGCAGGAGGATCGGATGGTCCCAGGCGCTTTTTTTAAATTTTTTTTTTTTTTTGTTAAAAATCAAATACAAGCTGTGCTTGTGAGGCGTGATTAACAACCTTAGCTATTATTTGACAGTTCTACTACTAGTATCAGAACCATTTTGAACTAAAAAGCTGTCTGATGATGAATAACATCCAGAACAAATTTTATATCAAGCAATTTCAGCTGGTATTCAGAACTAATTTATAGCAGACACTCATATTAACTAGATTTTGTTTGCTTTAACAGCTGTGAGAAATGTCATACAAAAGAATAAGAGTATGATGAACACTTCACTTAGCTGAAAAAGTGACATGAAAGACATAGGGACCATAGCATAGAAGGCTCAGGTCTGAAATAGTTCAGGAATAATCTGCTGAGTACGGGAATAAGAAGAGTGAAATTAAGACACTTTTAGAAAACAGGCCTGACGTGAGAAAAACAAAGAATTTTCATAATGCTTAGGAAAACTAGAAAACACAGTAACAATGGAAATAGATCTGTCTACAATATGAGAGAAATCAGAAAAGGCAATGAAGCTTCAGTGTTCCTCTTTGACAGTTTATTCTGTGTAAGCCTTCTAAGGAGACAAAGGTTGAGAAGATGTTCAAGAACAGTAGGGGAAGAAAGCACAAGCAATTCCTTAAAGGAGAAAGGAAAGCAAGTGACATGGCTCAAGGGCAAATATATTTGCCATGTAAATTAAAACCTGCCTAGTCATGCCCTCAGTCATGACTTCTGGCTCATCATCACCAAAACATAGCCATTTCTCTTTAATCACAAACAGAAACAATACGGACAATAACTCAATGGACAACAACTCGGTATTACACGTGACCTCAAACAGCTCCTTTATTATAACTGCTTATCAACATTATACTGGTGCACCGGACCATTTAAGAGGGCAGAATGATACTGGTCATAAAAAAAAGTGCTTTGATTCTCAAGAGATTATCCAAAGCCACTAAGAGAATGAATTTTATAATTCTGCAAGAAATTCTGAAAATTTCATTTAAGCCCACAGGCTGGAAGACAATTTAACCAAACATAACAGGGTCTACAGATGCTTGTAATCATTCTTTTAAAAGCTCAACTATTTAATATTTTTTTTAAGGATCACAGAAAATAATGTTTTTATATATTTTTTTTTTAAATCAGAAGTTTCAAGACATCAGTAATTTCTCTTAAGGCATCACCAATAGCAGCAGTATATGCAAGAGTTTTTTTTTTTTGTTTTTTTTTTTTAAATGTCTATTAATTAATATTTAAAAGAAAAGCCTAAAAAAAACCCAAAAAGTACCCAAAACCTTAAAAAACCCAAGAGATTAAAAGAACAACCAAAAATCATTCAAGCTCTCCTCTTTTCCTACAAGGAGTAAAAATAACTAACAAAGAAAAGTCCACAAGTCTTCCTTTGGATATAGACCTGGTCAATTAAAACAAACATGTATGAGAGGACTACATGTATCTACTGAATCATGCAATTCCATGTTTTGCTATTATTCAATGACAAACATTTCAGATTCAATTTTACACCACAATGCTTGTATACTGCAATTTTCTATGCAAGTTACAAAAATGTGAGGAACCAGCTTCCCTTCCCACTTAAAAAAATTGGTTAAATGATGAAACAGTCACATTGAGGTAAGACAAAAATGGCTACAACGCAGGGTACCTAATCCAGATATGTCAATCTAAATCAATGCTCCTTATTAAGCTTTCTTTATATTAGAAGAATGTTCTATGCAAACATATAAATCAATACACGTTTAAATAAGACACATGACTAGATGTTTCTTTTGGCAACATTTTCCAAGACTCAAAAAGAACGCAGAAGCACAATTGTTGTGTGTTGCGGCTGTGGAGTTTCTCATCAGAGGTTTTTTTTTTTTTTTTTTTTTTTTTT